GCGAGGCTTTCTGGGTCTGCCTCGTGTATCACCGGTTTATTGTGGTAATTCCAACGATAGACGAGCAAGACTTACCCGGAAACGACTACTGTCCGTCCATTCTACTTATTTGACTGATAACGTCGCAGAACTGGTTCGACGTTGCGTGGTTGCAAGATTCTATACGTTAAAATATAGGTTACAATGCAAGCAATTGAACCAGTCGAGGCTTACAATTAGAGTTCTATTGGTAACCGGTGGACCTTGCCACGAAACCGCTGAATCATTATCGCTGCTATCATGGGTGTAAGTATTCGCCATTACTACTTCTATACGATGTGGTTAAATTAGTTCTTGAAACTCTGGGTATGCATAGTTCAATACATGTAATCAGGAGCAAAAAGAGTGTTGATTTTCGTTGCGAAGAGTAGTCGAAGTGTCTTCCTTGAAATTTTCACAGGATCGATATAGTACTCATCGAAACGAATAAGAAAGTGTTAGCAAATATTGTTCTAGGATACAGTAGGCTATAAAAGCTGTAGTGCGGTACAATTACCTCAAGTATCGTCTTTAGTAGATATTGCTAGTCAGTTCATAGCATGCATCTGCATGCACATTGGTTGTGTCAACAACAGCTGGTTAAACGTTGAGTAGTAAAGGCACAATGGGAATTCTTAACCGCGTGAAAATATTATTAAAAATGAGTGAATGACTTAGATTATCTGTTGCGATGAAATAAAGCTTGTCTTTGTAATTCGAAACCTGTTGGCTATTGGTTTCCTACTTGATATCACTTCCCTACTCACGCCTATTATTACACGTAGCCAAACGATAGATTGCCAATTTCAGGCAGGCCAAATTAAAAGTTACGAAGAAGAAACTTAGACATTTGTTCGTTTATTAAAGTGAGTAATCATTAACATAGTTATTACACTGATCTTTCTTAACAAATAGTAACTCTTAAACTATTACTAATATGTTTTACGTTTGTCTTAAAATATCTTACATTTTATATCTGTTATAAAATATATAAACATTTAAAACTTTATAAAATCTATATCATAAAATAATACTGTCTTCATTGTAACAAACTTTCTTATGTTTGATACACTTTTATACATACAAACTTATTTACTAATTGCACTAACCTATTGCGTATTTTCCTAGTTTTAGTTTATATCTTTGTATAAATTCAGACATTCTTGAACTAGGGAACATGTCGAAACGTTGATCAAAATAGGTCGAACTTACTTCGACCACCTGCTGCGATAAAATAAAGTTTTCTTAATATTTCTTGACCTACTAATTTCTTATTTTCTGTTTGCTATTACTGTCTTGCTCGATTTGTCACTACATGTACTCAAGCTATCATCCGTCGATTCGAACATACCTTATATATTAATTTAACGGATACGTGTATGATAAAGACAGCTCCGTCTAATGCAAATAGCTTTGACGTGCACAAGGAGATTTAATCTTAAGTCCTCCAATCATGCAGATAGATTCGAGCCTGGACCGAGCCATTCGCGAATAGAGGTTCCACGAAAGGTTCCATTTACATGGGCAAATATCCCCCAGCCGCCTATATATCGCCTGTGTTCGCCGCAGCTTGCATTCCGAAGTTGCCCTTTAATTAGTACGTCGCGCCTGGTCGAGGGCTAGCTCCTAGATCGGTCCAATCGGCACGTGTACGGCTTTGAATTCGTTTCCGTGGCGGAATCGACTTATAGCTTGTTAATTAGTTTGCGTTCGTTACGCTAACTGGATAAGATGTTTCCTATTCGCCACACGGGCCGCTCTCGTGGATGCACGTCGTTGAAACCCCTTTATTGCTCTGCGCGATGAGCAGAAACTTCAACACCGTTAGAAGAACGAATTTCCACGCAAACGGAAATAGAATAAATATTGCACCATGCAGGATATAATAGTTTATGTAGGTTACATGCCAACTCAATCTTGCGTACCTGGAGAACGAAGGGAGAATGATTTTGCAAGAAAGGCTTACACTATATATGGTTTAATCGAATACAAAGAGGTCTAACTGTTTCGCTGGTAGACAGTGCTAAAACATATAGCTTTGATGGATGAGAAGGAATCGAAATCGCAGAAGAAGAATTAGATGGTTGTAGTTGAGGATTGGTTATTCTTATGTCGTTTGGAACGTGCCAAAAAGCATTAGAGACAAATCCGGGATGTTTTTTATTGAAACCTCTGTAGGATGGAAAACGTGTCCCGTGTACGAAGCAGGTGAAGGAACAGGAAGTGCAAGCGAGCAGACTAGGTCTTGGGATGATCGACTGCAGAAAGCGGTTGAATTTGAAGCATTGCTTTGCGCAAAGTCGTCCTTCGTCTTACTGAAAAGATTTTGTTGACTGTTAACAATTGAGAGGTGTGCTGCAAGAAGGAGATAGCTTCATTTTTGTATGGGTTTGAGGTTAGAATATAATCACGGATTTAACAAATTTCTTTCTTTCGTGGTGCAGTAAGGAGACATCTCTGATCGCTAGAAAAACTGATGATGTTAATTTGACGGAGACAGAACAAGAAGAAGAATGAATTTTGCACTAATTTTACGATTTATTGTATTCTACATGGTTTGTTTGTATTGCCAAATGTTTTAAAGAAACATGTGCTTGAAAGAAAATTTTGTTCCCTTCATTCGAAAAATCCCTTAAACAGGCGTTTTTTTAGAAGGGGACGCAAGTAGATGGTAGCTCCAAACATTAATCCTCTTTTCACCACTCTGAAAAAGAAAGATGGAATCCAGAACGACATAATTTGATAATTAGGTATCTATGCTATTATATGAAAAAAAAAACAAAGAAAAAGAAAGAAAAATTTAAAAATCTGAATTTTAAAACGTGTTTTTTAATTCCCTAAAAATGTGAAAAAATGGAGCTGTCTCCTTATTGATAGACACCCCTCAATTTCGTCTATCCAAATAAGGACTCCAAGGAAATATAGCTCTCGCAGGACTCAACGAACCAAGCGGCCGTATCGATGTTTCGTTCGGTGAAACCTGTCACCGCGCACTCTTTGCGTGTTACAGTATATAACTCGGTTCTTTTTATGCTGTCATTGTCAACTCGTACCGAATCTGCAGGTGTGAAAGGTAGTGCTATCCAAATATATGTTTGTTATAGCCTTTTTAGTAGATTCTCGTTTCCTTGGAAATTATTTAATATTATTTAACCCATTTATAGGATAAGGGCCTCCGAGGAAATATAGCTCTCGCGGGACCCAACGAACCAAGCGACCGTATCGATGTTTTATCATTTAGGCGCGAATCGAGACAGCCGTAGGTTCCCAAAGAGGCAGCACATGCTCGATAACGAGTTAATAAACTCACCCTTTGCGAAGTCGCGGTTTAGAACAGACAAATCGATAACGACGTCGTTAGGAGACGTTGCGGTGACCGTTATTCGCACGAACGAGCGACGCTTTCAATCGACCCGGTGGTCATCCAAGTGAAAACGCGAATTAACTTTCGCCGCGGCAACCCATCTATCTTCGCACGCTACATTAGGTAGCCACCCCTTCATGTCACGTGCTTTTTCATCCTTTGAATATTATGTAACGATATTTGACGCTGAAGATGTTTGCGCTTAGCTCTTCTAGAAGAGTGACACTATTCCTTTCATGATGCAAATGGTAGCAACAAAATTGTTTTTGTTATTTGTCAAGAAATAGCTAAAAATTATTTGTAAAAATATATAATTATTATTTTTAAATTAAAAATAAAGTTAAACGGTTATTTTAAAAGAATGATTGTTTAATTTCAGTATAGTATAATGTATATTCTTTTTCAATACAGCTTTTTCAGATTCTCGGTTACATTTTATTTTTAAATTAAAGGCACTGATTATATTTCTTTCATTTTTGACGTATTCTCATTTAATAAACTGTTTCATCGCAATCATTGCTCGAAGGAAACTAATTGTATAGGCTTTCATTTATTGATTTTTTAGAATATACAGATGCATTGAATGTGAAAATGTATTTTGTTTCATAAAACATACAAGACGACCATTTTCAACTATTGCCTTTCGTATGCGTTTTTATCTGAAACGCGGTTTTGTTCGGCTAATTTTTACGATCGCAGTAGCGTTCAGTGTTCTGGCTGAAACGAGTAACGAGAAAAATTTTCCAAAAAAGAGCAGAGGAAAAGGAAAAAGTTTCGATGGATTGCAACGAACGGTGATTTTTATTCACTGCGTGAGACGGGTCGCACTGTCGTTCGTGTTTCTCGCGAAATGAAACAGACTTCCATTCCGAACGTTCTCCGAGTTAGATGCCCGTTGCCTTTTACATATGGAACGCGACTTGCAAATACCCAGCGCAACAATCACGATCGAGTCGTCGCGGTTCCCGTTTCGTTCCCGTCCATTCCCTTTCCGCTCGAATGTGTCCCGTACCGTAGAATTTCCTTGTCATTGGAAAAGACACGATTACAATAGCATAGAACAGTTACGTCAATTGGAGTAACTTGGAATGGATAGGTTACTTTTCGGATTTTTCTGGCTACGCTCAATTTGATTGATCAGTGTATCAATTTTAGAAAACTTTAACGAAGGTTAACTTAATATAACAGGAAACCAACTTTTCTATAAATTTTGTGTAAACGTTTTCGAAATTGTTACACAATTAGAGTCCAACCATTACCCCACTGTCCAATAATGTTATGGAATAACAATAGTTTCGTGTAGGATTTAATAATAGTTTCGTGTGACCTTTCGAAACGGTAAAGTTTAATTTTTTAATAACGAGGAAACAGTTAAGTAAAATGACATATGTGATGTTGAAGAGGGTTGCACAAAATTTCTTTCGCTTTTATTATTATGGACCAGTATTAAGGTTCATCATCTATTTGTTGAAGACTACAATTGTTACATACTAGAAAACTGTTGTGTTTACTTTCCTTGTGTGTAAATAAACGTGTAAATAAACTACCTCGCAGTATACTGCATTTGTGAGATTGCAAAATAGTAACAAATAAATTCCTTCCTTTCGGATAATTTCATTCTTTAACTGAGGATTGAACCGTTGGTGTATTCGTTTCTTACCCATGTGTTTTAGACTTTGTAATATAAATTTGAAGCAGAAAAGTATCACAAGTCACCCTATTTGATGATCTTTCGTGGTCATCTAAACATCTCGAATAATTTTCTCGTCAAAGTGCGTCCGTTACGTCTCTTGAAGTGTGCTCTGGTAGACAGGAGGCGCCGGGAACACGGGTTGCATAAACACTACCATAATAAAGACGTCGTGGTTTATGGTATAATTATGTTAATTCGCTAATAAACAGCTCGAGCGACTCGCGCCTTGGCTGATGTACCGCATGCGCCTCGTTTTGTTCTCTCGGTAGTGGATAACCAGCCTCGTTGGCCTGCACAGAATGAAATAAATCGCTGCGCGAGTTCCCGAGATACCTCGCGTTTCGCGGACACGGATACAAGCAGGTCGAGCATCTTGGCAACCGACTGGCCGGTGATTGAAAGTGAAGATGGATTAAGGGCGATAGGATAAGCTCCATTTCCTCCAGCGGCGTCATCCTAAGAACTGGTCGGATAGCTCATCGGCCGATCAATTGACCCGGAAATCGCTGGATTCTTGGCCGCTTCGTGCCCGTTTACGAAATAATCGTGGCGACTGATAGTCGACTGGCGAATCATTTCAAGAAATGTCTGGCTTAGTCCCACCTACGATAGAAATGAGAAGGTTAGTGTACTACGAAGGCATAGTTCGTTCACCAGATGCTCTGACACTGGGACCCTTTAAGAGTATTTAGCTGTAATACTAAATGAAGGTAATCTAGAAACATCTAGATACAATAATTTGTCTATGCTATTATTATGAAGGTGTGGTGATCCTCGATTATCTCAAGAACCACTGGATCGATTTGGATGGGACTGCTTAGAATCTCTAGTATTAGAGACTACGTTTCGAAACTCTATTTTATAAGGGTTGAAAAGAGAATAACAGTTACGCCCATTCTATCCGGAAAAGCGTTCACAAGCTAATTTATTAGAGATATATCTGAGACAATACACGTTGACTAATTTGTTACGTAATATTTTATAATAACAATCTATAGTCGGCTAGTCTTTCAAATCACTTATGGAAATGTCTGACTCGGTCTCATACACTTTCACTAGATGTTCTGCATGTTATCTGCATGATTTCGAAACACTGGGTTGGTAAACGATCACACATGAGGGATAGTGAATTGTTACTGATGGAAATCTTATTTTTATAGTGGCTATATAGCTATATATAAGCTTGTAGCGGTATTGCCAGCACATTCATGTTGACAAACATTGTAATTGAACATAACGTAAGTACCCGGCATACTTGCCGAGGGAGAGGAATAGTTCGGATAACTTTTACCTTCAATATCTTCCTAACGAACAAGTTTAGGGCGTAAGCATGTTAGTACTTTTATGTAAAGAACAAGAAACTGCATCGATCTGTGTCATCAAAAATATAGGTTTCCATTAAAAAAAAAAGTGCGGTTACATTTTTCTTATGCACAAAAGTGCATAAAATTACTTGCATATTATGCACCATCCGACACCATTTAACTTTCACTTATAACATCTTTTTCTACTCCCAACCGTTTAAGAGGTACAGCCTGTTTCAGTTGCGTGGGACACCTTGTATATAAAAACAGAAAGTAATTAAAATGAATAATTTGAACATAACACAGTCTTATAAGGTGACAAAATGTTCCAAACAAAAGTTGCATGGTATCTAGGGGGACAACAGTGCTGTAATCTGTTTTTCATTGCCTTACATTTTTATTGAGATATTAGGGTTACCTTCAGTTTTTAAATGGAATGTCTAGTATTTTTGTTCGAATTCGGATAAATCATTAAATTTTTGGTAAAAAAGTATTACATGACGTGGGACTTGAAATGAAAAATTACTGAGATATTTATAAAAGAAGTTTATGGGCAATAGCTGCTAAGGTTGAAGTACGACATCCTTCATTATTCACAACTTTGTGATACTTTTTTAACCGACTTCGAAAAGAAGGAGGTTACTCAATTCAACATGTATATTTTTTTTTTACGTTTCTGTACATTAAAATTGCCATGTTCTTTGAGTCTTAACTCTCTAAGCCTTAAGAAGGTAGCATGCGATGACTGATTTCGATCAGGATACTTAGCTTGGTACAAGATCTTAGCTCTTATAGCATTTTCTTCACACGCACTATAAACAATTATCATAACGTTGTTTCACTGTTACTGAACATCGTAAGAAAAATGTAGCACCTTTCTCAATACGACTTTAACTTTTACTGAGATACTGAATAGACAGTTCGTGTTGATGATTATTAATATTTAACAGGGAATTTGTTTACAGACATGACCTACCGACGTAAATAAAGTCGTGCTAAGAATCACGTTGACTAAGCGTATTTCTTAATAGAAGATTATTAATTTTAAAATATCTCAGTAATTATTCATTTCAAGTCTTACTTCGTGTAATACTTTTTTACGCAAAATGTGATGATTTATCCGAATTTGAAAAAAAATATTACACATCCTATTAAAAAAACTGAAGGTGACCCTAATATCTCAATGAAAAAATAAGGTAATAAAAAACAGATTACATCACTATATGTTTCCCTAGATACCATTCCACTTTTGTTTGAAACATTTTGTCGTACAACAAATACCTTACGATTTATTTGAGGTCGTCACCTTATAAGACTCACCCTGTATATCATTAGTGAGTTCAGTTGTTGAGTGCTCTTTCATTTAATTACTCTCTGTGTTTATTCGCCTACAAATACCGTCTATAGATAAATAGAATATTATTATGTATAAACTAATGGAAATTGTGGAGATTTGTCCTCGATTACCTTGGAAACTGGATGGTGCTGAATTCCATGGAGGCTATACCGGCACATGGCTCGCAGTTCACGTAGAATGTAGCATTGACCACTTACAGATATTTGGATGTAGGCAGTCACGTCTACCCCAAAGTCTGTAAGTTGTCGAAATTATTTTATAATTTTGTCAATGCGTAGTTGAATAGGCTATCGTACCATAAACGCTGCCAGTCATGTCCCGTTACGGTTTTTCCAGCCGGATTATCAGCGCAGCTCGGAAACTTCTGTTCTCACGACACTTCGAGTCGAACCACCGACTAGACAAGTATCCCTTGTATTCTAGACAAGATAAAACATAGTACCTCGTGTGAATATATTTTGTCGTGTATACCATAACACAATCTAAGTACCGACAGAGGCTCTGAAGTATCATTATATTGAAGAGTGGAACGGAAGTGTTAAGCAAGTTAGAGGAAAGGTGTATCCTACCTGCAACTCTTAAATCAGATGTCTCTCGAGTCAGATTTCAACAACTCGATATGTCGCTCTCGTGCTAGTTACAGCATTTCCACTCTTCTTGAGAGAAGTATTCGTATCCAAATAGACCCGTAAGTATAGTGTCAACATAGATGAGAGAGATGGAGCGAGGCTGATTCGAAATACCGTGAAAATCCTTCGTCGGCGCCCCTTTGTCCGCGTCGTTGCGCGTCCAAGCCAACGATACGGAGATAATGTGATTTGTGTCGTATTGCGTCGAGGCTGGACACGTCGGTGGAGATCTAGGAAGGAGGAGAACACGATGGATCGGGATCAGGAAAAGAAAGAAGCCCGACTTTATCCACGGTTCACTGGCGTGCTATTAATTTTTCATCAGGCTGGGAAAACAGAATCGATAATGTTTCTTCTTGGATGCGGTACGTGTTTGGCGTGCGCTAGGGATCGAGACACGGAATCCGCATTCGACGCTGGACGACCGGAAGCTCTGGGAAAGGCGTTAGAAAAGGAAGGAGAGGAAGTGCCCTGGAAGTTGTTCGTATATCGGTCTGGCGATAACGGCCGAGGAGAGCTAGGTGAGAAAGGCAAAGAACTCGATAAGGCCGAGTTTACGGTTATTCCTTCAATTAAGCCACAACGAGCCGTTTAAAGTTGCCAGTGATTTTCGCCAACCGCCGTCAACCGTGGTTACGTTTTATTGCTGGCTCTTCGTTTTCCGCCCTCTTCATTTCCAATTAAAACGATGTCCCGACCTGGTTTCTTCGTCCGTGACTAGCCTTACCTTTCTACATTGTGTTAAAGTTCTCTTTTGTTGGAAGTCTGTTGTCTGCTGTATCGTAAAATCAACGACAACCGATACTTTGCTCGTTTTTATCCTTACGGAGTTGGTAGTTCTGGTTGGTGCTAGGAAATTATGACTAATGGTTGAGTAGCTCGTTTTTGCGTGATTTGATTTTTCGTTGAGTTAATGTCGCTGGAGGTAGTCGAAATAGAGCGATGAGTATATCGCATGAGTCGTTTGCGTGATTTTTTTTACATAAAATAAGCGAGTAGAAATAAATAGCTATGAATACCTAGTATACGCAAGGATCAATAAGTATTTTGTACAATTGAAAGAGGAGTTGAAAAATTGGAGTATTGGAAACATATTAAGGAAATATTAGATTATCTAAAAATTCAATAAACCCTCCGATAGTAGTTCTTGGAACTGGTCGAATTCAATTAGGATTGAATATAATTCAAATGGAGTTCAGCTAGCTGAATCGTTAGAACTGGAAAAGTATAGACTGCAGTGACGGTGAATCCAATTTTAATCAGCATCTCACAAATTTTTGTAGTCTAAGGGAACGTTAAACAAATGTTTAGACTATCTAGTATTGCATCCTTACAACAGAGAGATACACTACTTTAGAAGTACTCAACTATGGACAATATATAGAAAAAATATTGATTATTTGTAATAAGAGTTTGTAAATTCATTAAACAACTACAATGACAATAAATGTTGCAATGGATTACACACAGGCTATTGTAATGATACCGAATTGATGAATATACTGTACTGTATGCGAGCTATGTAAATCAAGCATGTGTACAGAGTCTTTATATCGGCAAAGCAAACTATCGAATGATCTGGTGAAGAAACAACTTCTAATTTGAATAATCCTCTGCCAACGAAAGAAAAACATAATTTTCTCCCGACAAAGAATGATCACATCATCGCATCATTTCAAGATGTACAGTGGGTGTAGAAAGTATTCGTACACTGATCAGTTTCCAAAAACACTGTGTAAAATTGTAATTTATTAACTTATTTTTTATAAACAATGTCATTCTACATATTCTCGGAAATCTCTAGAATAGATATAATATATTACAAAAAAAAATAGCTATTTATGTAAGTTGCTAAATTAACAAGAAAAAAACAATTAATCGATAGAAATGTTGAAGCAATAAGTATTCGCACAACTGTTTAAAATTACTTTACTGGAAATTTGATGTTTTCTAATTTGCACGGAGCAATAAACTAATGTGTTTACGTTATAAACTCTACTATAAATGGTTCGTCATAAGAATCGTACAAATACTTATTGCTTCTATACTTTTACCCAGTTTTCGCATGTTTTTGTTAATTTCACAAATTCTATTAACTAGTAAATGTTGTTTGGACTATACCTATCTTAGAGACTTCCGAGAATATGTAAAATATCATTGATTACAAAAAAAAGAAGTTAAGAAACTACAATTTCACAGAAAAGTTTTTTGGGAAATTGATCGGTGTACGAATACATTTTACACCCACTGTATTTATCTTCTGTTTACCGTTTTGTAATATTCTTATGACCAGAATAGCGTAAATTGCGTCTGTCTGTTTATCTAATGTAACGTTCCCCGCAGTCAGCGAACCGAAGTTCGTGTTTTCAATTTCACCAAGAAAGGTTGATTCAAATTACTCCCCACCGTGCGGAAATCGAAACCAATGGATGTAAGAAGTTCATTCCGAGTACGGTCGGCAGCGAAACTCGGGGAAACGCAATCTGTACTTTCGGGCACTGTGCTATTCAGTCGGAAGGAATTGTCTGATCATCTATGGCTGCGGCTGATAGTGTAAGGTCCTCGGCGTACAGACACGTACAGGCCATACGTGCATCGATATTATCCGGGGTATTCTTGTTCGTTTCCACTCCCTTCTTGCGCCTTGTTTCTCCTTTTTTTTTCCATAGACATATATATTTGAATTCAACGCCGCGTTTCGGCCCACTTCCATTCCGATGGATGAATCGGGGTTTGGTCAGATATTGGACGCAGCCGTGAATGGCTGGATACGTAGAAGTTGCGGTCGAGGGTCCACGTTGGAGAGAAAAGGCGAAGGAAATGGGCTTCGCGGCGGAAGAGGGCAACAATACGACGAAAACGTTATTCGAGGTTGGAGCATCGAGTCGACGCGGGCTAGCTTTTGGCGCGCACTCCCGTGGCGGATTTCATTTTATTTCCGGTCCAGGCTTCGGCCACTCTTTTGTGGATCGTCGTTCGACCGCGGCTAGGGACTTTTCGCCCTTGCCACCCAGCTTTCTTTATCATCGAATGTGTACCGTATACAAGAGGATGAACGGAACACACTGAAAAGGGGATTTCTGCGAGCCAAAGACTCGACTTAAGACACTCTCCCCCGTTCCCTCGTGTCCGCCTTCCATCGACCTTCTCCCTTCTGCATCGTTATCCGTCGGTGTCCTGTCGGGTCCTTTGATTGAACCATTCCTTCAACGAAAATGTTTCCGTCCGGCTCGAAAGGACGGCGTTAGCCCCGTCGAAGCCCACCGGTCTCTTTTATTCCGTGAAATTTTCCGTCCCTCGTCCTCTGCAAATTGTTTCCCATGGAAATTCCGTACCTAATTTCTTTCGTCGATCCTGGAATTCCCTCCTCCTCTGTAGCCATGGCCGTATCAAAAGAGTACTCGCGAGACCCTTATTTGCCATTGACGGAAGACCGGAATGCTGTAAACTGTTTTTAAAGGAGTCTATTATTCGCGTGTTTTACGGGGCACGAGACGAGAGCGTTACTGTATAGAAAGTGGTTTTGATGAGTAAAAGAGGGTCGTGGACGTGGGTGTTGATTACGATCAGAAAGATTCGGGATTAGTTTCTTCTATTCGGTGGAGCTAGGTTGTGTCGCTCCAACAATTACCTCTGGGATGACTCAGATAAACTTAGAATTTGTCAGACTTGAATTAGATGAATTTGTAGTAGCAAAGAAGTGGCAAGTAGCTAACGAGAACAAATATTTGATCTTTTATGACAATACAAATGAACGTTTATTTCATGCAAACGTTATTTCTCTGTTAGTTTTGGAGTAATAACTGTAAGCAAACGAACATTTTAATGAAAATTAACATTTCTTGAAGAATTATAGGATAAGTTTCGACACGGTATCTCATTAGACAAATTATTTGAAGTATTAAGAAGATCTTTATGTAATAATAGTGAGTTTTATTTTCTTGATCCAAATCGACCACAATAATTGAAGTTTTGATAATCCTAAAAACAGTAATTTCTTGTTAGTGTTGGTACATTCTTAAAAGGAACCTGAGACAATTTATACAAAGAGTAGTCCTTTGTAAATTAGAATTTAAGATACGTAAAATAAATTCATTGAAGAATTACGTCTAACACTTCTGTTAGAGGATTCTAACAGTCTCGTTAAAATTTCATGGAAACAGGTAAGGAAGAATACTGACCCTCGTTAGGATTTATTGACTTCGACGAAAATATACAGGCAGTATGAGGGTTACTGGGACGTAACAGTCCGGTTTAAGGCGCACGATTACAGAGAGCGAATGGGCGTGTGGGTTCTTATTAGGCGACTCGGTAAAAAAAATACTAAAAATACTCGAGTGGTACTAAACTCCCAGGAAGATGTTTAACGACCACCATAGCCAAGTATGCCTCCGAGATACCCAGGTCTCGTTGAAAAACGCGTAAAACCTTGAAGTACGTGAGACCTTGAACCCCAGGATGCGTACTATCGCTCTCGATGGTAATACACGCTTCACGATTTGGAAAAACCACTCGGGTCCCATTCTTGCTGCTCAAGTCGAAAGAAACGCGAGGCAAGAAAGAATCGAAGATCCAGGATTCAGGACAATCTGCCGATTTCGACGGGTAGGAATGTTAATACGACAATATGTATTCATACACAATCACGTGACTTATTCACAAATCGGCCCGACTCGACATTACGATAACGTCTGACTAACGAGTACATAAATTCCTGCTTCCACTTTGTGTTATTCCTCCTCTGCGCTGTGTCTACTGGCGAATATAATCATGTCGACCTACATTGTCGTAACTGTCATCGATAATGGTGTGCAATTCCTTTGCTCCGTAACTGTCCTTTACATACACGATGATTTGATTTTAATTATTCTGAGAAAAGAGGACATGGATCAATACTATTACCGAGGAATTGACGAAAGAAGACAGAATTTCTTTGCTCTTTGGTTATTTCATAAGAGTAAAATAAAACCACGCGTGCGAAGTGGAGCAAGAGGCGAAGACAGTGTTTCTGAAATTTCACATTTTTTCTCGGTATGGGAGAAGATAAGTAGAGGAATGTTTGGTTAGTAAAATTCAAAGCACATCGTGGTATTCGATAGCGGCTAAAAAGATTTGGGACTCTTAGATGTTGAAAGAAGCTTAATTTTGCTCATTTCTACTTGAATAAATGATGTTTAATGCAAAAGAAAGTAATTGTTTTATTATCCGAAAATTCCACTA